CTCATATATTTATTTAGTCAACCAGTCAGTCAACAAACACTTGAGTGTGTACTATATGTGAAGCACAGAGCTAGGAACCACAGAGGGTACAAGGAAGGAAAGACCTAGACTGAGCAGCTAAAAGTCTATACTGGAAGTTGTGGCATGTGCACAAATTATGACCATAGGGAATAGAAAGTGTTAGGAATGTCTGGAGGGTGGAGAAGAGATTAAAATCAGCATGTAACTGACTCACAGTAGAATTGGTAATTATTTGGGGCGCCTGCGTGGCTCAGTCGGTTAAGCATCTGCCTTCGGCTCAGGTCATGATCCCAGGGTCCTGGGATCGAGTCCTGCATCGGGCTCCCTGCTCAGCAAGGAGTCTGCTTCTCCCTCTCCCTCTGCAGCTCCCCCTGTTTGTACTCTCTCTGACAAATAAATAAATAAATAAAATCTTAAAAAAAAAAGAATTGGTAATTATTTAAAATACTTACTGCCCATGAAAAGGCCAGGAATGTGGTCAGTGGATGAAGGTAGCTGGGTTAAACTTACTTAAACTTAGCTCAGATCTCATTCTTGTTTCATTTCATAAGCTAGATGAATGTTCACGGGTTGTCCCAATTTCTCCTGGCTTTTGGTTGTTGGTTGGCATCCTTCAGAAGTCATTAGTGTCCAACAGCTACTGATGACTTGCCATACTTCTTTCTCAAAGGTAACTTTCTTTCTAATGGATGCTTTCACCATGGGTGTCCCATCCAGGGAAGCCCTAAAGTGTAGAACTTGTGGACAGGCTGGGGTTTTTACACAGACACTGACTTACATGTGTTTGAAGACTCTGTCCTGGCCTACTCCAGTGACACATACTTCCCACGTGAACCGCCGAAGAATTGGATTAAACCTTTCTCTTGGCCCTCATTCTTAATAGCATTTGTCTAGACTTCTCCTGCAATCTCACCACAAAATAACAAAAATATTGACAAAAATAATGGAAAAGATGGCAATTACCCTGCCATGAACTCCTCCCTGCCTTAGGTTGTCACCACAACAGATAAAGCCTATTTGATGGGAGACCAACACCACTGCTACAATTCCTGAAGTAAAGTTTATTTGCACAGAAAAATAAAGGCAACTTTTTATTTGTCACCCTGCAGAGAAGAAATATGATTCCTGTCCTCTTGCTTCATATTAGCCTTCCTTTTTCCTGCACATTTTCATCCCCTGGTATCTGATCATTTTACAGAAAGGAGGATTTCTGCTTTTGACCTTACCTCTTGCTGTTGTAACATTCCAATTTTCAAATGGTCAGTCACCATTTGCCATTTTGCTTTTTTTTTTTTTTTTTCGGGGCGCATGTCCGAAGCTTAAGCATACGAGACTCTGGGCCATTAAAAAAAAAAATGCTTGCTAGGTTTCCCATGTGATAGTGGTTCCTCGGGAAAGCTATTCTTTCATGCAGCCGCAGCACTAGCATTGATCAGTGGGAAAGTTCAAGGCGGCAACTCATCAAGCATGGCTTCAATACCAGATTCCAGACAAGGTCTGCAATAAATAAGAACAGTAACAAAGAATCATATTTCCTTCTCACACGGAAAATCAGCAATGGCATAGTTCTAAATTTCAGGGTTCAGGCATGGTGTCTTCTCCCTGCACTGCAATTCGAAAGCAGGATGGCTTTCCTGAGAAGTTACATCAACATGCATTTTTAGCTGTCCTTTCCTTAGAAACTGAGCCCTAATGTAATTTTGAATTTTGCAGGTCGATTGGGGATTTTTCAGCTTGGACATTGATTATCATTTGGGTTGTTCAAATAGAACCTATATTGTCAAACATGCTTAGATTTTCTCACATTTGTTTTAATTGACTCATCTCCCTTTCCCTCTAACCTTTCTCCCTCCGATAATAACATCGAGTTTTCCATGTGATTGTACAAAAAGAACAATCTTTTGCTCTAAGTAGGTAGGGAAAATTTTTTTCTTCAAATGGCAGTGTGATAAAAAAATATACACCCTATGAGTCCCTCACGGATTATTGCTATTGATTTCTTTGCTTGAAACGTGGAAATGTTACCAGATGGGGTGTTAGGAGTAGGTGTGTGGGTGCAAGTGTGGCTTATTGCTTGTTGACTAAAAATCAGGGAAAACCTTCACCATTTGTGTGCTTGTGTTATATGTAAAGGTGAATTTTAAACCCCAACTAGTCCTTATATAAAGCTTCATGCGATGCAATAAGCAACATTTTTAAGTTAAATTTATATTTGAAAAAAAATTTTTATGGCAGACTCAAAATATACAGATTTCAAGTATTTGGTTTCTCTGGCTTATTGAAACACTGTCGTTGTTTTAAATTAATTTGACCAATGAAATTTGCTTATCACAGCAAGAGTTCTATTGTGTTTGTTTTCATCTCTGTACCCTCCCCAGGCTGCTCCTTTGAGCTTCCTGTGGTCTCCTGCTCACGGAAGTGTGAACCGAATTGCTGTGGGTCTGGAAGATAGGTGCCTGTGTGCAGCACTTGGACACTGAGCCCGACCCTCAGGGACCCACCCGTTAGGAAAAAAAAAAAGGCTGACCTTCTGTCACTTTCCTTATCCTCCCTTTTAATGATTCCTTCTCTATCCTTTTGAGAAGATCTTTCCAGCCCTTTGACCCCTGTTAGAAGAGGAAGGCTTAAACAGCTAAAAGTACCCTCGGTCTCAAGGCTTGCCAAGGAAAGCTCAAGAGGCCTTTTAGGAAATGCCAAAAGACAAGGGCCTCAGTTTTCAGTGCATTCAGAAGGCAGATTCCACCCCGACACCATTTCCCTCCTCATTTATTTTATAGAAGCAACCCTGCCTCCTACCCTCACTTGTCAGTGCCACTGGAATCGACACATTCAGAGAGCAGCTGACTTTTAATGATAGCCCTTGGACTGTGTGAGAGCTATTGTGCAATTTGAAAAAGAGCACGGGAAATGTGTGTGTGAGGTGGGTCACTGGGCTGCTACTCCATGGCTCCAGGTCCAGCTGTGGTTTTCACAGAATAACAACCACCGCTGGGTAGGTTGCTGCCCACCCAAAAATGGTGAGATGCTGAAGGCGGGGTTTTTGAAAGGAGAGCAATTGTGGGTTCCCAGGGCCTGCTTGTGCTTTGTGATGTGACTCTGAGTCATACAATTGAAATGGCGGCTAACACTGAATAATGTGGTGTTTTCAAGTGGTAGGCATTATTCCATATAATATGCTATGATATGTATATTCAAATATTTAAATATTCACACTACAATGCTGAAGGTAGGAACTATAAAACTGAGGAAAAGAGAAGACAAGTGCAGCGTTACCATAAGAAACTTTGTATTGGAAGTTCAGCTCTGCCAGTTATTAGCTCTTTAACTTGGGTGAATTGCTGAACTTTTCTGAGCCTAAATGTTCTCATCTGTAAAATGGGGATTGTTAATTCCATTTTCAGGATTATCATGGGAATTTAATGGGAATGCAGTAAAGTCCTGGGTCTCCCCCTCCTTTCTACTCTTTTATTGCACCCCTGACTCTTTTCCAGGTGCCCATCATTAAGAGTTACTGACAGAGAACAGCAAAATCCTAGTGAATTTTAGGCACTATGCCCAAAGAAAGGGGTGATTCCAAAGAGGTGGTTTACTTTTCTTCTTCTGGGAGAAGCTATACACAGTCTTTTATCTGTGTCACAGGACAGAATCCAAACCCAGTAGCATCAGTCAATTACAGTTGAGTTGGGAGTGGCTAAAAGGATTAGGTATTTGACCCCATATTATAAGATATTTGCTGCCATTTCTACTGCAGGAAAGGGAGGAATGAAAGGATTTAAAGGTTCATGTTCTCACTCCAATTAACCAAGTGACCCCTTCCCCTATTCTCTTTATCTTCAGTATGCACATACATGTGTGAATGCATGTGTTCCTATACAGGATACACTTGTATGCTTTCTGCAATAATGATATATTTGAAAGTAAAAGGATCTAAAGGGCTTAAAAATATTTTCCCTGATTATAAAAGGAATGCATGTTTATTTTATAGGCATGTATATTTTATATAAATGCATGTATATTTTATATAAATATAAAAATATAATGAAGATACTAATTTCTTCACTCAGCACACAGAGATAACCATTTTATTTTGTTTTATTACTTTATTTTTAAAGATTTCACTTATTTGAGAGAGAGAGGGAGCATGAGTGGGGGCAGGTTGGACAGAGGGAGAAGCAGACTCCCTGCTGAGCAGGGAACCCGATGTGGAGCTCTATTCCAAGACCCTGAGATCGTGACCTGAGCTGAAGGCAGATGCGTAACTGACTGAGACACGCAGGCATCCCAGAGATAACCATTTTAGAACATATCTGGGGGACTCCCAAGTTTTTTCTGTGTACACACATGCACACCCCCCCCCATGATAGCCTATAGACTCTCTTTTTATTTTATTTTTTTTAAGTAGGCTCTCCGCCCAACATGGGGCCCAAACTCATGACCCTGAGATCAAGAGTCATATGATCTACTGACTGAGCCAGCCAGGTGCCCCTACTTTTTCTCTTAATATTATATTTTGAACATTTCTCTTTATCATTAATGTATTGACTACTCATTGATGCATAAAACCAACATAAAAACTAATGACATAAAACAATAGAATAATTTTGTTATCAGTTTCATGGTTCTGGGGTTGCCTAGGCTCAGCCAAGTAGTTCTTATGCAGGGTATTTCATGCAGTTGTGTAGGAGGTGGCTTGGGCTAATTATCTGAAGTTTGCTTACTCACATTTTTGGTACCTGGGCTGGAAAGACCCAAACAGCTGGAGGCTAGAACAGCTGGTTTCTTGGGCATTTCTCCCAGTCTCTAATAAGGTCTCTCCTGCATGGTGGCTTCAGGGTAGCCATGCCTCCTACATGGCAGCTCAGGGCTCCACAAGTAAATGTCCATAAAGAAAGGCCAGGCTGAAACTAATTCACCTTAAAAAATTTTTTTAATTTTAATTTCAGTATAGTTAACATACAGTGTAATATTAGTTTCAGGCATACAATTTAGTGATCCAACAATAAAAATATGTCATCCTTATGCAGAGGCCATTCTAATTTTCTCTGTATCATTCCAATTTTAGTATATATGCTGCTGAAGCAAGCACTAACTCACCTTTTATGACTTAGTTTTGGAATTCACACAGCCTTCCTTCTGCCACATGCTGGTCACCAAGGCAGTCACAAAAGCCCACCCCAAAGCCCACAGAAGCTCTTTCCTTGAGACATAGACCTCTTGAATGGTTTTTTAGTTTCTTATCAGTGATGTCACAAATTTAAAACAACAGATTTATTATCTTACAATTTTGGAGGGCAGAGTTCTGAAATGGGTTTCCCTGGGCCAGAATCAAGGTGTCCTAGCAGGCTCTAGGGAACAATCCATTTCCTTGCCTTTTCTAGCTTTGGGAGGCTGCCTACCCTCTTTGGCTCATGACTCCTCTGTCTTTAAGGCCACCATTGTATCATCTTCATATCTCTCTCTGGCTGTGACCCTCTGTGTTCATCATTACATTTTTTTTTTTTTCTGACTCTGATCCTCCTGCCTACCTCTTACAAGGACCCTTGTGATTACATTGGGATCACCTGTATAATCCAGAATAATTTTCCCATCTCAAGGTCCTTAGCTTAATCACATCTGCAAAATTCCTTTTACCATGTAAAAGGAGATATAGTACCTTACCATGTAAGGTAAGATATAGTCACAAGTACCAGGGATTGGGATGTGGATATCTCTGGGGGACCATTATTCAGCTTTCCACAGTGGGAAATGGCAAGGGTCTGGAAGAACATATGCAATCAGAAATATTGTTGCAGTAATTTTTGGAAAATACGATCTTCTGCAATTAAATAATTTCAGTGGTTGCATAGTATTTTACTGTATGACTGTCACTATTTACTTAGCCTTTCTCTGTTAAGCATTTAGGGTGTTTCTAATATAAAAAACCCTAGAAAGAACAAACATCACTAGGAATAAACATTTGTGTAAATCTCTGATGATTTTTTAGGATAAATTGCTAAGGATGAAATACACAAAAAATAAGAATATATATATAAACTGCTGAACTGCCCTCCAGAAAGGGATCACCAGTTTTTCAGTGGCATTATATAAAAGTGTTTATTTTTCTGCATTCTCTCACCATTAAGTATAATGATTCAAAAAAATCTTTGCAGAGGGCGGAGCAAGATGGCGGAGGAGTAGGAGACCTAGATTTCGTCTGGTCTCAGGAATTCAGCTGAATAGGGATCAAACCATTCTGAACACCTACGAACTCAACAGGAGATCGAACAGGAGAGTAGCAACAACTCTCTGAACAGAGAAGCGACCACTTACTGGAAGGTAGGGCGTGAGGAGAAGTGAATCCGAGGCGATATTCGGGAGGATAGACGGCGGGGGAGGGGCCTCCG